GAAATTTGTTCTTATGTAGCAAACCTGGTAAAATACTTCCGGCTTATAAAAAGGAATTGTCTTGTCCTCTGAATAACTACTATGAAGACAACAATATGCAATGTATTAATTATTATAGCTGTCCTACTAACCTGTTTTGAAACTGTTCCATTATAAAAAGGAATTGTACATAGCATAATAAAGCAGGCTCCATGTATATTCTCCCTAGTTTAAGCAATAAAACATGACAGATGCAGTGGAAGTCCCCTTATGACCCTCCCCTTTTCCATTTCCTTTCTTTTCCCCACAAAATAATCATTAGTCAGGATTCATCCTTCCTAGGCATTTTGCTAAATGTTAACTTCATTTGTGTATTTTTAGAAGATATGGGTTATTTTTATACATTCCTAAAAATACAAAACAAGATAAATATACCATATGTATTATTTTTAAAAAGGAAAAGACTATCTTAGTCCAGTTATAGGTTTATAGAAACATTGAGCAGGAAGTGAACTTCCCTGACTCTAGCTCATGCTGGAAGCAGTGTGCCTACCTGGTTTCTCTGAAGGAAAGGGCCTTGCTGGGCTGTTTTGGGGTTGGCTATTAGGTTAAGTTCCCAGTAGAAGTGAGGCCTGGTATAGTTTTCAGATTCTTGTACTAGGCAGAGCACTTGACACAAATATTTGTTGAGTTCCTGAAAGTCTGAATGAATATATTTTGAATATTTCTATCAATCACAGGTAAAAACTACTACAAATAGTAGGCTGGACCAACACGGGCTCTACTAGGAGCAAACAGGAGAATAGGGTTCAAGTGCAAGGGGCCAGAGATAAGATCAGAGGTCTACATGGTAGGTGAGGACAAGGTGTATCAGTCATGGCCGCTGGGGATATTCCCAAGCAGGTGGTGCTTTTCACTTAGACATTCATAATCTGGGCCTGCCTCTGTTTACTGTCTGAAAAGATCTTCAGATAATGAACCATGATGGCCTGCTATGCAGCGGTGCTATGCAATAATTTTTCATTTGCCACGAGTGAGCTTCAGAGATCAAGGACAGCTAAACACATAATCCACTCATGCGTGTTATTTTAAGGGCATATCTTAAAGTTATAAATACGGTACACTGAGTTAATGAGGTATGTTCTTTTTGTGACAAATATTTACATTCCACATATGCCTCTTGATGTCAAGAGCGTAACCATTTCATTTTCTCCTTTTCTCAGGAGGCTGGGATACAGATGGAAGAGGCCCTTGTGTCTGGGACACATTCACCCATCAGGGAGGAGAGAGAGTTTTCAAGAACCAGACTGGCGATGTAGCTTGTGGCAGCTACACTCTGTGGGAGGAAGATTTGAAATGTATCAAACAGCTTGGACTGACTCATTACCGCTTCTCTGTTTCCTGGTCACGTCTGTTACCTGATGGGACGACAGGTTTCATCAACCAGAAAGGCAAGTGTTTCTTAAAAATAGAAGGTTGCAGCTTTAATTCAAGGTTATTGCTGCAGTCTGGCATAATTAATCCAGTGTGCTATTCTGTCGTCTAGCTTTGAAATTGCAAGTTTTCAGAGTGATGATAGGACAAAATTTTTGAAATGGGTTTGCATTATCTTTCTTAAAATTATTTTAGTTTTTTATGACTATGGTGATCTTCTTGGAGGGGGGATATGGAGATAGGAGGAAGTTGGAATAGGGGTTTTATTTATGTAAGATGTTATCTGAATGTTAACCTGCAAATGAATTTCAAAGAGTTTCAGGGCTCTGTTTTCAGTTGTATAGCCAGGGATGAGCTATGGAAAGCCCTGGAGAAGTTGAGATGGGCCTGAGCATTTCAGCTGGACCAGGATCATGGCAGTAAATAGGAGTCAGCACTGCACCTCCCTAGAGTCTACTTCCTGCAGAATCAGTACCAGCTACTCCACTTAATACTTGTGCAAGTATCTCTTGGCACAATTTCCCCATGAGTAGGAAGGAATGCTATGGAAGTTCATGCTTCAGACAGTTGTTGAAAGATTAAATGAAATAATCTTTATAAAGTGCTTAAAACTGTCCCTGGAATATCACAAACACTCAGTGAATGGTAGCTATTACTCTTATTATGCTTTGAAATTAAAGAGACCATCCACAGCCTGTTGCTTATTAAGCACTTTCACATACATTTTATGTACCCCTCACACCAAATAATTAAGGTATGATGATCATGTTTTCCACCACTGTGTGTTCAAATCCACATATTTGCAAATAGTGGATTTGGAATCTACACCTAAAGTCTGGCTAGTTTCCATATAACTGATTTGGAAAACTAGGACCTGAGGGCCAAATCTGGCCTGCCACCTACCTCTGTAAAATAAAGTTTTATTGGAACACAGCCATGTTCATTCATTAAACATGGTCTGTTGTTGCTGTCCTACCATAATAGCAGAATTCAGTAGTTGGGGCAGAGACCATATGGCCTACACAGCCTAAAATATTTACTATCTGATCCTTTACAGGAAAAGTTTGCCAGTCCTGGCACTACAATATATGGCTTTTAAATAATGATCTTTTTAATAGTTTTTTTTTAAATTTATTTATTTATTTATTTAGTGTGTGTGTGTGTGCGCGCGCGTGTGTGTGTGTGTGTGTGTGTGTGTGGCCAGCTCAGCCCACCAGGGGGCGGGGCTGGCTGGCATGTGGTGCTGGGGGATTGAACTGCGGTCCTGTGCTTTGCCAAGCTTGTTCTAAGTAGGTGCTTTAGACCACTGAGCCATCTCACCAGCCCAATAATGATCTTTTATTTGGAAGATACTTCATATTACTCATAGAGCTGGGAGTAGGTGAGGTGAGTGAGGCATCTGCAGTGAAAATCTGAGTGTTCTTAAACACAGGATGGGCACCTGTGTGACCTGGGCAGGAAGGTACTGTCCTCCCCCTATTTTCCCATGTGTCCCACACCCAAGGGCCTCACCTGTGCAGAGGAGCTCTTTAGGGTTAAGTTTTAATGCCCTATACAGGAACATCCATCATGACAGTTCTCCATGGGCTCACGAACTTGTCGTGTGAATTTCACAAAAAGTGGGGAACCACTCTATGGGACACAGTTCCTGGCTTCACATGAAGCATTGGCTTTGATTCTGTACAAAGTAGCCTTTGACTCATTGCTGTTAACTGAGAGCCTACTTTCTTGACATTATGGGTTTAGTTTTTATTTTGACCAGAAATTAATTTCTTGTTCAGTTTTAAAGTGAGCTCGTAATTCTCCACCCTCTTAATCTGGCATCTATTTCCTCCTCCTCCTTGGTATCACCATACCCAGGGTAAAGCTTTGCAGCAATGGTTTTCCTTTGTGTATGCAACTCTTACACACCTCTAAGCATACTGCATGTCAGGCACACATCAATGTCCCTGCTAAGTATGAACAATACAGTTATAAGAGAGTCCCTCAGGTTTCTGACATGGTAGTTGACAGATAATTCTACCTTGTTCACCATTGTGATCTAGTCCAGGAGCTTCCATAGAGATTCAGTGAATGGTTACTTAATCTAATTTAATTAGATCAATAATAATCATAAAATCACTTTAATGATAACAATGGTTGCTGTTAATTGAGCATATTCTATGTACAACTCACTTTGCCAAGTATATTTATATATTGTGCTTCATTTTGCATATTTAATGCTTCTAACAGCCTTAGAAGTGAGGAGCTTCTCACAATGGAAGGAAAACCCTTAACATGGGCAGGAGGTGAGGTGTGAAGTTTCTGTGATGAAAAATTTAGTTAGCACTAGGCTCGATCTAACTTGTCTGACATCAAAAACTTGCTCTCTAGGTTGGAACTGTTTTACAGTCTCATCAAACCAATTGCATTCTTTGTGCTGGGATTGCATATCAGAAAAGTAAAGAGGAGACTCCATGTCACTGAAACTCTTCCCTAGGTGTTTGAAATTTTTCTAAAACTAAATTGGCACCATAAGCTGATATGAACCTGCACGAGAAATCTTTTTCATAATTATGGCTTATTCAAATTATTCTATTTGATGAAATCTCTCTCTCTCTCCCTCTGTCTCTGTCTCTCTCTGTCTCTCTGTCTCTCTGTCTCTCTGTCTCTCTGTCTCT